TTAAATCTCTCCAGAGTATGGGAATAGAGGGAACATTCCTCAAGCTCATAAAATCCATCTATGAAAAACCCACAGTGAATATCATCCTCAATGGGGAAAAGCTGAGAGCCTTTCCCTTAAGATCAGGAACACGTCGGGCGCCTGGGTGGCTCAGTTGGTTGAGCGACTGCCTTCGGCTCGGGTCATGGTGCTGGAGTCCCTGGATCGAGTCCCGCATTGGGCTCCCTGCTCGGCGGGGAGCCTGCTTCTCCCTCTAACCCTCCCCCATCTCATGTACTCTCTCTCTCTCTCTCATTCTCGCTCTCTCAAATAAATAAATAAGTCAAAAAAAAAAAAGATCAGGAACACGTCAAGGGTGCCCACTCTCACCACTGTTGTTCAACATAGTACTAGAAGTCCTAGCAACAGCAATCAGACAACAAAAAGAAATAAAAGGTATTCAAATTGGCAAAGAAGAATTCAAACTCTCTCTTTTCGCAGACGACATGATACTTTATGTGGAAAACCCAAAAGACTCCACTCCCAAATTACTAGAACTCATACAGCAATTCAGTAATGTGGCAGGATACAAAATCAATGCACAGAAATCAGTTGCTTTCTTATACACTAACAACGCAACTGCAGAAAGAGAAATTAAAGAAACGATTCCATTTACAATAGCACCAAAACCCGTAAGATACCTCGGAATAAACCTAACCAAAGAGGTAAAGGATCTATACTCTAGCAACTACAAAACACTCATGAAAGAAATTGAAGAAGGCACAAAAAGATGGAAAAATATTCCATGCTCATGGATCGGAAGAATAAACATTGTTAAAATGTCTATGCTATCCAGAGCAATCTATACCTTCAATGCCATCTCGATCAAAATTCCAATGACATTTTTCAAAATGCTGGAACAAACAATCCTAAAATTTGTATGGAATCAGAAAAGACCCCGAATCGCCAAGGAGATGTTGAAAAAGAAAAACAAAGCTGGGGGCATCACGTTGCCCGATTTCAAGCTATATTACAAAGCAGTGATCACCAAGACAGCATGGTACTGGCACAAAAACAGACATACAGACCAATGGAACAGAATAGAGAACCCAGATATGGACCCTCAACTCTATGGTCAAATAATCTTTGACAAAGCAGGAAAAAACATGCAATGGAAAAAAGACAGTCTCTTCAATAAATGGTGCTGGGAAAATTGGACAGCCACATGCAGAAGAATGAAACTCGACCATTCTCTAACACCATTCACAAAGATAAACTCAAAGTGGATGAAAGACCTCAATGTGAGACAGGAATCCATCCAAATCCTAGAGGAGAACATAGGCAGTAACCTCTTTGACATCACCCACAGCAACTTCTTTCAGGATACATCTCCAAAAGCTAGTGAAACAAAAGCAAAAATGAACTTTTGGGACTTCATCAAGATAAAAAGTTTCTGCACAGGAAGGGAAACAGTCAACAAAACAAAGAGGCAACCCGCAGAATGGGAGAAGATATTTGCAAATGAGACTACAGATAAAGGGCTGGTATCCAGAATCTATAAAGAACTTCTCAAATTCAACACCCAAAAAACAAATAATCAAGTCAAGAAGTGGGCAGAAGTGATGAACAGACACTTCTCTGAAGAAGACATACAAATGGCTAACAGACACTTCTCTGAAGAAGACATAGAAATGGCTAACAGACACATGAAAAAATGTTCATCATCATTAGCCATGAGGGAAATCCAAATCAAAACCACTTACACCAGTTAGAATGGCAAAAATGGACAGGGAATGAAACAACAAATGTTGGAGAGGTTGTGGAGAAAGGAGAACCCTCTTACACTGTTGGTGGGAATGCAAGTTGGTACAGCCACTTTGGAAAACAGTGTGGAGGTGCCTCAAAAATTTAAAAATAGAGCTACCCTATGACCCAGCAATTGCACTACTGGGTATTTACCCCAAAGACACAGATGTAGTGAAAAGAAGGGCCATATGCACCCCAATGTTCATAGCAGCAATGTCCACATTAGCTAAGCTGTGGAAAGAGCCGAGATGCCCTTCCACAGATGAATGGATAAAGAAGATGTGGTCCATATATACAATGGAATATTACTCAGCCATCAGAAAAGATGAATACCCAACTTTTACATCAACATGGATCAACATGGACTGGAGGAGATTATGCTAAGTGAAGTAAGTCAAGCAGAGAAAGTCAATTATCATATGGTTTCACTTATTTGTGGAACATAAGGAATAACATGGAGGACATTAGGAGAAGGAAGGGAAAAATGGGCGGGGGGAATTGGAGGGAGAGATGAACCATGAGAGACTATGGACTCTGAGAAACAAACTGCGGGTTTTAGAGGGAAGGGGGGAGGGGGGATTGGTTAGCCCGGTGGTGGGTATTAAGGAGGGCACATACTGCAGGGAGCACTGGGTGTTATACGAAAACAATGGATCGTGGATCACTACATCAAAAACTAATGATGTATTGTATGGTGACTAACATAACATAATAAAATTAAAAACTACCAAAAAAACCCAACAACATTATTCCTGTTTTTAGGACATTCACATGCTTATTTTTAAATGTCATTTAAATGTCATTTACTTTTATTCAAGTAAATAAATTGTCACAAAAGCAAAAAAAACCCAAAAAACCCCATAGCCTTTGAGGTTATCTCTTCTACTGGACAGAATTCAGTTGTATCTTTGCTAGACAGAAATTTACAAGTTAGCAAGTAACTTCACAGAGTCTCAACTTTTATCAGTAGTAAATAACAAGTTATATAAAGGTATATTCTCTAACGAAGTAATCTTTGGGTAGGATTGTGCGTCTATAGGACATCGAAAGGACATACTGCCTTCTCTTTGTCTTTTAACTTTTGGATAATTTTTCTTGACACAAAGCAACGTGGGAACCTAGGTTTTCTGACTCTAAGTCCAGATTTCTTTCCATTCTACTTCCCTGCCTCTTCATAGTATAATTTTTAATACTAGAGTAGTTGGCTAACTTTTGCAAAATTAGCTAGTCTTTGTTATTAGTTTTCCTTTTTGATACACTTTCCTTTGTTATACAGGGATGGTGATAGAGTTTTCTTTCTCAGAGAAATAGTGTGTAACTCAATGGATATTTGTAGAATTTGCATAAATACCCAAGATGAGAAATTAAAATTATAGCTTATCTACTCTTTTATGACATTTGTTACCAAATTTCAGAGTCATTGTAAACATTCTTGATTTTTGATTAAATAATCAGAATTTATAAAATGGTGTGTTTGATCAGATTAGCCTTTACATATTTTGAACAAAATACTGGTGAACCATTTTAAGTAGTAGGTGAAAATTTGTTCACATTAAACAAGATAATTGCCTAACAGTTAAGCATTGCATTACTTACTAACAATTTTTTCCTGGCCCTGAAGTGGTTATCTTTAGGTGTCATTTAACTCACCAGTGGTTTTTTTTTTTTTTAATGCTTTTTAAGAAGGTTGGGATGCTTTATTCAGTTTAGCCCTCAAGCAATTAGGCAAATCAGTTACCATGGTAACAGAAGGTATTAATTTCCTTACCTTAGTTAAAGGTTTTTTTTAAGACTATTTATTTGAGAGAGAGAACGCATGTGAGGAAAGGGATGGAGGAGCTGAGGAGCTGAAGGAGAGAATATCAAGCAGACTCTGTCTAGTCGTGAGCCTGACTCAGGGCTCCATCCCAGGAACCGTGAGATCCCTTACCTGAGCTGAAACCAACAGTCCGAGGTTTAACCGACTGAGCCACCCAGGCACCCCAGCATTAGTTGAAGGTTTTAGGAGCAAAGACATCTCTGAGCTAACCCACTGAAACCCAGCTTTCTATGAAACAGGAGTTAGTTTGTCCATTCTCTAGAAGATGATACCATTTCAAGTAGAAAAATGTACTCTTGAGATGAATTTCTACTCTGACCGAGCGAAGTAGAGTATGATTTAAAAGCTAGGTAATTAAAGAGCTATCCCTTCTTAGTTTAATATGGGATACAGTTGGTCTTAATTTTCCTGTATTTGTTCTAACTTAAATCTTGAATCTTATGGGTATATTTCTATTGCCATGAACTAACAGGCACTAAACGTGCCTGCAGTAGACAGCTTTCCTACTATCTAATTGATGTCAAATAAAATCATTTAAGATGAAGTTTTTCAAAACCTAATTCCTAATTTTAGGAGATAATCTCTTAACATTTAATGGGCTAATATTACTAACCCTGTATAGTAAGCCTACTCATTTAGGTATCATGAAGTCTATTTTGCAAGTAATATATCAAAAAGGTTTTAGTAAGAAGTTGTATTCTTATTAGGTATTTTATCACTGTATTATGGTGATTAAAAAAATTGCTGTCGTTGTTAATGCCAGTAGCATTGGACATTTTCCAGTCTTAGACCATTTTGTCTATGTTCTGTAGCAGGAGTTGGCAAACTTGTGGTGGGTCACATTTGACTTGCTGCTTGTTTTTGTACTATGAGCTAAATGGTTTTTACATTTTTAAGTGGCTAAGAAAAAATCAGAAGAAAAATTTTATGAAATCTGTATAAATCTAGATTTCATTGTCTATAAAGTCTTATTGGAACATAGCCATGCTTATTTAAGTATTTATGATATTTGAGCCACAATGTCTGACTTGGTAGTTGCAACAGAGACAATCTGCCATGAGGCCTAGAATATTTACTGTTTGGCTCTTTATAGAAAAAGTTTGCTAACTCTTGTTCTAGAGTATTAAAAAATGTAGCCTTGGTTGTTCATTAAAAACAAACAGACAAACAACCTTTCCCCTTTTCTGGGCATACTTTCCCCCCGATTGCTAAAAGTAATGCATGTTCTTATAGAAAATTTGGAACATATAGAAAAGTATAAAGAAGAAAATAAAAAACCATCTTCAGTTGTGGGATAACCACTAATATTTTGTTCTACATTGCTCCAGACCTGTAAAAATATCAAATATGTGTATATGTATGCCTATATATATATATAGGTGTATATATATGTGTGTGCATGTATACATATGTCCCTCTATGTAGAATATGTATATATATACATATGCAAATACATACATATTTATTGGGTAAAATTAGAGTCTAACTTGCTTTTTCACTTGATAAATTATGTTTTTAATGGTTGCATAGTGCTCTGTTTTATGGATATGACATAATTTATTATTTAACTATTTTACCGTTGTCGGACATGTCTGTTTTCAACTCTTTATCATTATAAATATTGTATATTACATTGTATATCTTAAATACTATCATATATAACAAGAATGACTATCCTTGTATATAAATCTTTCTGAGGAATGCTGGTGTTTTGGGTGAGATTAATTCTTAAAAATGAAACTATGTGTAAAACTAGAGAATTATTTTGAGGGAAATGTTGGTAGTGCAGGAAAATACTTCCTTGGCCTGCCTTCATGAAAAAGATGGCTTTCATTTAGCCTCCGCTCTGGTTAAGCATAATAATTTTCACACCAGACCATCAAACCAGCCCTTAAATAAGTTGACTGGTAAAGCATATAGTTGATACTGTAGTAGATGGATTGGAGGAACTGGGTCCATGTCCCACTCTGGCTTCATAGTTTATACTCACAATTCGGCAGCTTGGGAAGGTAGATTTCTTGTGTGCATGCTCCTAGCATTATTATTGAAGCCATAGAGAAAAGTGGAATAATGCTCCAGTCTAGTGTGAGTTGACACAGTAGACTCAGAAATGGGGGTAGAAGGGGATGTGCTCCATTCCTAGGGTAATTCACTTGCTACAGCTCTAATTAAGTAGGTGTTCCAGCCAAACACTCTGTCCTCTGTATGCTTCTATAAAGGAAATGCCATTTGTTAGCACATTCCTAGTTTTTTGCCATCACTCACTCCATAGAGTTCCTACAAAAACGTACCCAAGTATTTCACTCAAAGAATGATTTGTAAATGTGTATTGACTTTAAAAATTACTATGGATATCCATACCAGCTGCTTGGTACCGGTCTGTCTACAGCAGAAGTAGTAAATTGGAAGGCCCGCAGGCCAAATTTTGGCCTGTAGAGGGGTCTTGAATATTGCTCTTAAATGGAAGATTGCATGGTACAATTTCTTCATCTTTGGAAAAACCGGGAGATCTGGTAACACTGGGTCCATACTGGCAAGAGTTAGCTGGAGCAAAGTTAGTGGCTTCCAATTTGTGCTGTAGCATAGTGATATGGGTTATAAGGTAAGATTTTGATGGCTGCGTATTTTTTATAGTTTTTAAACATATAAAAGCATTTTATGAAACATTTAAAGATTTATAATAGGTGAAATTATATTTGAACATTATTCTATATGGTGATCCTTTTGTAAACTACTTGAGTTAAGTAACTGTTCTAAAGAAACGAGTCACAGCAGCCATACTCTCAGTTTCAAAGGGGAAAAATACTTTATTGATATTATAAAGTAAAAAACCTAGTGGAAATAGAAGAAAAGGGAAATCTATGCATAGATGAAGGCAATAGTAAGCAGTAAAGGAGAATAAGATAGAGTTACATCAGTGAGGGACACCATGAATTCCGTTTGGAGGCATCTTTGAGCTCACCGAGTAGACACTGTGAGCAAAGCTCACCCTCCTGAGTTGAAAAAATTTATGGACAAGAAATTATCATTGAAATTAAATGGTGGCAGACATGTCCAAGGAATATTGCAGGGGATCGATCCGTTTGTGAATCTTGTGATAGATGAATGTGTGGAGATGGCAACTAGTGGGCAACAGAACAGTATTGGAATGGTGGTAATATGAGGAAATAGTATCATCATATTAGAAGCCTTGGAGCGAGTATAAACAATGGGTGTGTTCATCAGAAGAAATCAATTGCTTCCACATGTCCCCTCCATAGTACCTATTTTACTACAATATAAAAATCAGGTCGTTTGCATTTTCATATTGAACTTTTTTGTTAAATAAACTTTTATAATAGTAAAAAAAAAAAAAGAGTTACATCCGATTGGGTACTTACAACATCTAACCTCATTAACTGGGGAACCCTTTGGGGACAGCCAGACTGGGGTTCCAGCCAGGCCTGGGTGCAGTGTCTTCCCCTCAGGTGAGACTTCCAACTGACCATCCCCATAAGGGTGATATTTATAGGGCAAATGACCAGGTGTGAAGTTAAACATTTGTTTGCCTCTGTGTGGTTTGGAGCGAGCAGCATTTCTGTGTTATCATGTCTTTACATCTTCAAGGAGTCTGGGCCATATGTGCTTGCCTCTCCTCTTGGATTCTATTCTGGGGGGCCAGCCCAGGCTGGAGCCAGAGGGGATGCAAGGCAAAATTTATAGCTCTTGGTGTCTAGACCAGAAGGGCCAGTTCTGACCTGGAGGCTAGCTAATGTCCACTAGCCAGGCTCCTGAGATCACTCAGCAGCATGTCTCACACACGACATTCTTTAACCTGCCTGCCTCTGTGCAGGTCTGGGTGGTCTGTTACGCAGGACCAATCACAGAAACTTCCGTCCGTACAGTACAGTAACATGGATGGCTGTGCATGGTAAACATGGTCAGACAGGGTTGTTCTCTGGCTATATTTTGTAGCACTTCCTCTTGACTTTCCTGTTAAATAATTATTTATCCTAATTATTATTTTAATTTTGTATGTGTATATTATTTAATAATTGGGAAAGTTATATGTGTTTGTGTATATAAACTTCTTTCTTTCTTTTTAAGTAGGCTCCACACAGGGCTTACACTCACAACTCGGAGATCAAGACCTGAGCTGAGATTAAGAGTTGGATGCTTAACTGACTGAGCCACCCCGGTGCCCCAAAATTCTTTCATTTTTGTCTTAATTTTTGTAATTATTTTACTGCTAACAGAAAAGAGCATGATTGTTAGCTAATTCTTATCAGTATTTTCTAACAGAAAACAATGAATTTTGTTAATTTTCTTGCTTGTTATTTAATTTTTAATTATTTATCTATTATGGCCTTTTTGATGTGACAATTTGTCAAACCCTGATTATGATAGAATTTCATAATATGTTTGTTTTTAGAATTTATACTAGTGTTATATCTAAAAATAATCAATAATTGAACATAATACAATTCCATTGATTTAATGGAAATATAGACCTCTGTAACTTCAGAAGCTCATTTAAAAATATTTTTGATTATAAGTGTATTTTGCTTAAAAAATTTAAGCAAAATTTTATTAAACTAACTGAAAATATTTCAGTACACTGTTTTTGTTTAGTCTTTTTCATTAAGGAAGTTTTTTGGGATAAGATTTGTTAAAAAAAACATAAGAATTTAGACAAACTAAAAAATTGACAAGAAACGTTTCCCAAGGAATGAAGGATTTATAGTATTTAAAGTACTTTATTTTTTAAGTATTTTATATTCAAATAAATTTAATTTCTGCAGGTATTTGCTTTCCCACTGTAATGCCTAATTTATTGATTAAAGCTGTAAAGTCATCTGATTTGTGAGTTAAATGTAACACTAAATATTTCATCAATAATTAGTCTCTAAAGTAAAAAATTATCTCAGAATTATATGATGTTTCCATAATTCTTTACAGGCTAAATCAAATGAAATAGGGGTGTCAAACAAAATACTCTGGTACCTTCTCATAAAACGGCTATTTTACTAAAAAAAGTTTGAATTTTTGAAATAATATTTGAGCACAAAATAACAAAATTCTTTTTTTTTTTTAAGATTTTATTTATTTATTTATTTAAGAGAGAGAGAGCATGAGCTCGGTGCGGAGGGGCAGAAGGAGAAGCAGACTCCCCACTGAGCAGGGAGCCCTACTCAGGGCTCGATCCCAGAACCCTGGGACCATGACCTGAGCTGAAGGTAGACACTTAACTGAGCCACCCAGGCGCCCAGAGAACAAAATTCTTTTAAGAGGTTGTGATTATCAGATTGAGCTCAAGAGCTCAAGAAGTTACAGGATTGCACAATTAGTAAAGCCCAGATACTTTGCTAGTTTGCCAAATGTGCTCTTTTTTTCCTGCCTGTGTGGAGCACTGTGTTAGGGATCAGTAAGGCAAAAGAAATGGAAAAATTGCCATTCTCAATTATTCTGTTAGAAGATATGTTTAAGATTTGTCAAAGACATAGAAGACAGTACTAATTCAGAAGATTATTTAATGAAAAAGGTGTTCATTGCAGATATGAATCCATAAATGTTAGTAATGGGCCTCAGTTAGAAAGCTGTACAGAATCCTTGAGGAAGAATGCTTGAGAGGACATTATTTGCTTGGCAAAGAAGTTTTAAAACTGAAGTATTCAAAGGGAATATCTTGAAACATACAAAATTTTATGATAACAGTGAAAGTCTGGGACTGGTAATAACAGGAAGGTTTAGGCTGTACATTTAGTTCAATATAAAAAAAAAACCAACCCTGATATTCTAAGTAATAAGTTGTCTTATTCACAGAGAAGCTCCTATATATTAAACTTTGCCTGTAGTTGAGTTCCACATTAAATGAAGTCATAAAAATGGTGAACCTAATGAAGTCTAAGCTACTATAGTACCTTCTTTTCAGCTTTAGGTGAATAAATGTGGCTAGCTATTTCAATAATTAAGTATATTGACAGTCTAAAAGAAGATTTATAAGCTAAAAGAAAATTTCAAATTATTCCATGTGAATGGTTTTTACTTTGCAAATTTGTTGAAGTATAGTTATCGGCTTCAATAAATAGTATTCTTAACTGACATTTTGAGCACCTGAATTAACTTAAAAGTGCAATGATGATGTGGAAAATATATTAACATGTACTGACAAAGTTTGTGGATTCGGAGTGATAATTCAGCTTTGGGAGAGTGAAGTTAAAATAGTTTTAAAAGTGACATTTAATTGGTATCATTTGAGTTCTAAGGATGAATTAATAATACTTGCAGAGCAAATTCAGCGTATGCCTGTGACAGAGCTTTAGCACACTATATTGAAATACTTGATATAAAAAATTCATTTATATTCAAAACTTGTTTATATCATCAGAAGGAATTAACATAGTTTTCAGTAGAAGAAAAGGAGAGGCTGTTAGGTTTAAAGAACTTTAGCATTCTTGAAGTACAATTTAAAGAGGTCGAGTTGTTGGAATGCTGGTTAATAGTGAAAAAGGAGTTTTCATTTTCAGCCTTTTAGAGCAGAGCCTCTTGCCATTTGCTACCACTTGTGCTAATAAAGCTTCTCTGTGATGGTTGCTATATGGAATATTAAGAAAATGTTAAAAGGTTTTAATCAGGAGTTGTATGTAGCCATCTTAAACAAAAAGCCTAGGGGCGCCTGGGTGGCTCAGTCATTAAGCGTCAGCCTTCGGCTCAGGTCATGATCCCAGGGTCCTGGGATCGAGTCCCTCATCGGGTTCCCTGCTCGGCAAGAAGCCTGCTTCTCCCTCTCCCATTCCCCCTGCTTGTGTTCTTGCTCTCGCTGTCTCTCTCTCTGTCAAATAAATAAATAAAATCTTAAAAAAAAAAACACAGAAAGCCTAATATGCAAAAGTTATGTTCATCTAAACAACTTAGTTTCTTGTATAAAAAATTTAATTTTACAATGAAGGTATAATGCAATTTTTACAAAATGTCATATACACACTCCCAGATCACCTTCCTAGTATGCTATAAAAATATTTTCATTTTCTGAATGTGCCGTCAAGTTGAAAATGTTGTAGACTCCTGGTATAGACCTTCGTTTGTAAATGAAGTGGGCATCGAGAACAATCATGTATTTGAGAAAAATCAACAGCTATCAAGCTTGCTTAGCTGAATAGTTGACCCTTGATAAAAAATAATTTCTAGGGGCACCTGGGTGGCTCAGTCAGTTAAGCGTCTGCCTTTGGCTCAGGTCATGATCTCTGGTCCTGGGATTGAGCCCCATATCGGGCTCCTTGCTCAGCGGGGAGCCTGCTTCTCCCTCTTCCTCTGCTACTCCCCCTGCTTGCACTGTCTCTCTCTGTCAAATAAATAAAATCTTTAAAAAAATAATTTCTAAACAAAAAAACCTAAAAGTCTTTATAAGTATTATCAGTGGATTCAGCAGGAAATGTGTTAATAAAAGAACCGAAGAGGATGGATGGAGGGAGGTGGGTGGAGGATGGGCTAATGGGTGATAGGTATTAAGGAGGGCACTTGTTATGATGAGCGCTGGGTGTTATATATAAGTGATGAATCACTAAATTCTACCCCTGAAACCAATATTACACTATATGTTAACTATCTAGAATTTAAATAAAAATTTGAAAAGGAAAAAAAAAATAATTGAAAGTGGTTGAAAAGGAAAATTGCAGGGTAAGAAAATTGCATGTATAATTCCCTCAATAAAATACTCAGTGGAATTACTGTGATAGAACAAATATGGCTGAAAACGAAATAGATATTTGTTGAATGAACTGAACAGCTGGTCCTAGGATGCCTACTTGATCTTTCCTGTCTTAGAGTGCTTCTAGAGGAGTTGTACTGATGAGCTCAGTGTTCTGGTGGTCTAGGTCTTGAGATTACAATTTGGGAGACCTGTGAATAGAGAAATTGCCTCCTAATACTTCAGTGGAAGACTTAGAATCTTTGTCCTGTTCGCAGCTTCCTGAGGGACTCTAAGAGCAGATGACTGCTGATGGTAAACAGTTTTACAGGCAAAGGAAAGTAACAGCCCAACTAAGGAAGCCAGCATCAGTGGAAAGAAGACCGAAGAACACCCAGAATAGGAGACTTTTATTGAAACAGATATTTGAACTAGATTATAACTTTTATAAAAGAAAGAAATAATAGGGACTAAACTAGAGCAATAAAGAAACTTTCTGGAACTAACAATCAAGATCTTAACATTATAAAAATTCAGTAGACAAACTGAAAAGGACTATCACCATTGGGAGTGAAATTAGCATCTTGGAAGTCAAGTGTAAAAAGTATCTTAAAATACAAAGAACAAAATTAAAGAGATGGTAGTCAGGAAGGAAAAAAAAGAGTCTAGGAGAAGAAATCCAGGCAGGAAGAAATTCACCAGCATGTGAATAAATGTTGTAGAAGGAAAAAAGGGAAGAGATAGTGGCGGTTAATAACTAAATAATAACCAAACTAGAAATAGGGGTATATTAGTTTGCTGCAGGTGCCATAGTTAAGTGCTGCAAACTCCATGATTAACAGAAATTTATTGTCTCATAGTTTTGGAGGCCAGAAGTCCTAAATCAAGTTGTTGGTGAGTTGTTTCCTTTGGAGGGTGGTGGGGGAGGGATCTGTTCGAGACCTTCTCTTTGTGGCTTGTAAATGGATGGCTCTTTCTCCATATGTTTATTCACATCATCTTCTCTCAGTGCATGTCTGTCCCCTTTTTGTAAGGACACCACTCAGTTTGGATTAGAGACCACTGTAATAACCTTGTTTAAATTTGATTACCTCTGTAATGACTTTTTCCAAATAAAGAGCCACATGCTGAAGTACTGAGGTTAGAACTCCCAACACTTTTTTTTTTTGAGGAGGGATACAATTCAACCCATATTGAGGGGAAATTTTTCTGATCTTAAGAAAAAGACTTCCAAGGACTCACTGATCCCAAGGCGAATAGAGTTTATGCTTAGGCTCCTTAAAATACAAAAATCCTTGAAAGTCTTTCAAGCTCCCAGATGGGAAATAGATGACTTACAATAGAAAAAGCATCAGAGAAATAATGGATTTCTTACTTGCAGCATCAAAAGGTAGAAGACAGTAAGAATATCTACAGACTGCTGAGGGACTGTTATACTCAGCCAACACATCATTCTATCTGTTTGAAGAAATACATTTTCACATATACAGGGAATCAGAGTTTATTACCTTCGTATTCTACCTGATGAAAATAATTTAAAGAGTTCTCTAAACAATCGAGTCAGAACAAAAATTCAAGAGGGGTAAGACAAAGGGAAGAGGAAACCATAGTAAACAATATATTTACATATAACAGATGATGAAATTTATAAAATAAAAATGTTTAAAAAGTAGTAAGGATTGTTGAAAAAGAAAAGCAATACTAAGAAAACTAACAGGCTGTAACCAAAACCACATCAACAAAGAGCAGTCATTAGAAGGGTGTGGAATTAAAAACAGGACAGTGCAAGTATAGGGTCATGGTGGGGAAGGGATATTGTTACAGTATTTTCCTGAGATAGTATGGTAATAGTAGGATGGAAAAAAATTGACGTTTTGTCATTGATAATGGAAAAAGAGTATGAATGGTAATTTCAGCCAATCAGGAAAAATGAAAAAAGTAAGAACTGAAGAAAGTAAGATAAATACTAATCAAAGTAAGATGAAAGAGAAAACCCATGTTCTTACACTAAATGCAAATGAGATGAATTACCCTATTGAAAGACCTGTTCAATGGG